AACACTTGGCCCTGTCTGGACAGTTTTAGTTGTCACAGCTGGGGCAGGGGTAGGGCTGGCACCCAGCGGGGGAGGGGAGGATGAGCTGCTCAGCATCCTGCGATGCAGAGGACAGTCCCTCCCACAGGTGGGGGCGCGACGTACCCGGCTTTCAAAGTGCGTGTGGTCACCACCTAAGAGCTAGCGTTTCTTTGTAGATTTTACATGAGGACCCATGGCATGGCCCAGCAGGAGCTGCTCAAGCCCCATCCTAACAGGCTTCCTGAGGACACATCAGCCCAGCTGGGCACCTGGAATTACGGGCAGAGGGGCCGTGGCGAGGGGGCCGATGTGTGGACTAAACACCTGCACACGTCACCCCAGGCAACCTCGAGTGACTTCCAGTGACTCGCCAGGTACGGAGTGCTGGTTACACGCAGCTCAGCGCACGTCTGTGCCGAGGCTCTGGCATGTTAAGGTTTGGAGCTGGTATTTTCCCTCCAAGCCTGGAGGCCAACGCTTCCTGCTGGGAACCTGCTCACGGCCATGCCACTGGGTGGGGAGCTGTGTGGGGCTAAGGCCTGCAGCCTTGTGCATATGTCTCAGTCACCTGGCACCTCAGTTTACCCCATTCAAAGGGAAGACTGTGGCTGGCTGAGAGGGTCACTTCCAGTTCTTCCGAAAGTCTGCCATCCGTAATGTGCCGCATTTAGGGACTGCGCACCTCCCTTAAGAGCCTTAAGAGCAGATTCCACAGGTCCAGCCTCAGGGCTTCCTCATGGGTGGTCTCCAGAGGAACCCACACATGGGACATGGCAGCTCAGGACAACACCCCGCCACCTACATAGCACAGGGCCACGCAGGATAGAGACGAGAGCCTCAGAGTCACAGGCTTCCCAGCCCTGCACGGGTCCCGCACAGCCCCCTTGTCCAGCACCGAGTGGCCGCGTCGGAGGTGGGTTAGAGGCGGGCCAGCGAGCCCAGGCGGTTTGTGTCTAGCGCCTGTTTCTGAGCCAATCCCACTAGGGACAGACTGAGATAAAGTGAAGCCTGGACTCAGACGGCTCCACGGCAGAACACAAGGGGCTGCCCAGGCGACCAGAGAGAGCGCATATGAAAGACATTGCCTGCCAAAGAGACAGGAGTGGGCAGCGTGGGTCACAGTCTCAGAGCGGGGGCAGGGCTGGGCCACAGCTCCCGTCACCCTGCGCCCCGCGTGAACTCGGAGGAGGCAGGCAGATGCCGAGGCCCAGAGACCCAGAGCAAAAACGGAGTGAGACGCTGCCCAGTACAGACCGATGCACAGACACGGACGCCGGGGAGCAGGGCCACGCCTGCACGCAGGTGCCCAGAAACCCTCAGTCTTCATGGCAAGGCCTCGGGCTGTTCTGAGCCAAGCCAGCACTACAGCACACAGGCAGGCCAGCCTGGGCCCACGCGTGTGGGTGCCGTCCCTGCACCACCACCACTCAGAATGGAACACGGCAGCTGGCAGCAGCAGGCACAGTCCAGGTGATGGCACAGAGATACCACCCTTGGGCTGTCCCTGAGGGAGAGCAGGCCAGGGAACCAGGGCCTTGAGCCACACTGTGGGCATCACCGGGCATGTGCCTCACACACCTGCTCAGACCACCTCAGTCACAGCAGGGAGGAGCCCCTCGCCCCCTTGTGTCGCCAGCTGGAGCCTGCACAGAGGGAGCCCTCCAAGGAGCTGCAGCCGGGGAGGACCCCACAGCCACAGGGTCCCCAGACCTCCCTGTCCGGCAGCTGCGCTGCTGCCCGTGGCCTCAGCACCAGAACGTAGGCCCCAGCTTCAGAGTACAGGGCCTGCTCCTCCCTGGGGGCCCAGGCTGCAGGCATCTGCGTCTTAAGTGGAGCCCGTGGCACCTTTGTCAGGCCCTTGCCGCCAAAGCTAAGGCACCTATGCTCAAAAGTCGGCTTACCTTCCTCCGCGAGGTCTTTGTTAATCACCAGTTTGCCATGTCTCAGGTAGTTCAGCACGGGCCCAAAATAGGTGGGGTCTCTGTCGATTAAATAGGCACCTGTTTCGTCCTAAAGAGAGCAGAGCACGGTGAGTCCTCCGTGAGAAGCTGACAGTTCCTGCAGGTCCACCAAGGCCCGGTCACATCAGGAGGCTTCAGAGGCACCAGGTGACCCAGGCCTCTCCCCAACAGACCTGAGCCTGCGGCATCTCGGGAAACCCCTGACGGTGTGGCCACGTCCTGCCGCCTACAGCCTAACCCTGACCAGCCACCATCCCAGGTCTAAGTGAGTTTAAGTCTCTCCGTATGGAGACAGCCTGGCTCTGTGTACTCCAAGGTGAGGCCACTGTGCCCTGGACCTCTGTCCTCACAACTGCACGACCTCTAGGAAAACACACGAAAACCTCACCCAGATCCTCTCCCTGGGATGCCCTCTGGGCAGGGCAGGGGCCTAGGGCTCAGCCTCTGAAGGACACCCCTGATGGCCACCAGCCTGGGCCTGCCCTCCTTGTGCCCAGGTCCTCCCCGGCCGACATCCAGGACTGGGGGTCAGGGGCTCTCTGCCAGGGGTGGAGAGGGCACCTTGCAGCAGGGGCAGCTCTCAACAGGCCCCGAGCCAGTAGCGAGGGAAGCTCACAGTGACCTGCACTCAACAGCATCCGGGGCTTTCTCTGAGATCCTCACTCACCACACAAGGCCCTCGCCCCGGCTCAGTGCTCACGGAGGCTGAGATGTTTACAAACAGACCCCTCGGAAGGTGTCCTCATGCACCTGGGTGGGGGGCCCCTGAAAGGCACTGCCCTTGCTGCTATCACGGTCACCTCAATGTGGGCAGACGCCCTCTGAGGCCTGGGGTGCCCCACACATCACACCTGGCAGCCCCTTCCACCAAGCACAAGAGGCCCATTGGCCCTGCTGTGTGAGTACAAGACGGGTGCCCAAGCGCCCTAGGCAGCCCCTGTGGGGGAGACAGAAGAGGCAGTTTCTGTCACCTTATCCAGACCCAGGCCTCCTTGTCGGCTATACATCTGACGGGGGGACTGCGAAGCCAGCATGGCCCGTCTTCCACATGGACTCAGACCTTAGGTGTGGCTCTGCTGGGGCAGCTCCTGCCTCCCCCAGTCCTGCTCCCACCTGTGAGCCACTCCCACAGGGGCTGGTGCCTGCGGGCGCCCTGGAGAGCGGGGAACTGAGACCTCCATTCAGAAACACCGGGCAGCCTCCCGGGAAAGGCCCAGGGCCAAGCACTGGCGAGAAGCAACCCCACACCCCAGTCAGGGCAGGAGCAGCCCCCTCCCCCAGAGGGGCTCCCGTGGGGCCTTGGGCAGGTGCTGGCCACGGGAATGCCAAGTTCGGCGATACGGGGAGGCCGAAGGTGTCTCCACCACAAAGCACAGGGCCACACTAGGAACCTATTTTCATCCATGGACAAATTCTGCCATTTGGGTGCTAAGACCTAGTGGTTTCAAGAGATTTTCCCCAAAGTTCACTACTGCAAACCTGTAAAAACCTGCTCTTAGATCAGAGGAACAAAACTGAGTTTCGCGGCTGAGATAAAATTAACTAGGGCTCCGGGCATGGGGGTGCTGGACCCGGAGTCTCAGTGGCCCCCCTACTCCTCAAGTTGACCTCAACTCCACACAGACCTGACCCCATCCTCCTCCACCCTCCCCAAGAACACTCCAGCCAGAGCTGCCCACCCCACAGGCCCTGCCTCCTGGGCGTGCCCCTGCCTTTCCCCAACCCTCCAGACTCCACAGCTCTTAAGCAAGGGCCAGCTCCCGGGAAGAGGACGCTGGGTGGTCCTGCCCAACTGGTAAAAAATGGCCCCCATTTCCCACAAAGGGGTCCAAGTCTGGCAAGGTGGCCAGTGCTGCCACCCGAGTCTAGGGTTCCTCCCCGCCCCACCCCCATACAGAGAGAATGGTGGCCGCGTGACATCCGCACACCACTCAGCTCAGGAATCATTCATGGCTCAGTGCTCCCTCGACAGACCACTGGTGGGAGGTCAGGAAAGATCACATAGTGTGCGGAGGCTCGCCTCTGCCCAGGACAACCCCAGAAAGCCCCCCTCTCAGCCATGGAGGCCTCCAGGCCTGGCCTCAGTGCAGGCTTAAGGCCCGGCCACCCCAGGCCTAAGTTTCTTCATGAGCAAAATGTGGAGGAGACCAGCTCATGTAGCTCAGGGCCGCCATGAGCGCCAGGGCACCCAGCCTGTGGCAGGACCTGGGCACTGAGCCGTGACCTCTAGGCCAGGACAACCCACCATGCACTTCTCGGCCCCTGGGCCAGTGCAAGAGGAGAAGGAAGCCTGCTGGGCGCCCCCAGACACAGAAGGCCGCCCCAGCCCTGCAACTGGAAGGAGTGGGGGCGGGGACGGCCATCAGTTAAAACTGCACAGCAGGACAGAGGAACAGGCCTGACGACTCAGCAGGGCACTCTGGGCAAACTGGCAATGGCCTTGGTGCACTCTTTTGAGGCTTTCAGTGGGAGATTTCCACATCTATAGGAAGTGCTGGGGTCTTAAACCAAGACTCCCAAATCCCACCAGGGTTCAGGTCTCCCTGAGGCCTGACTCGCATCCATACACATGCAGGGTCTTGGTGCTCTGAGCTCGGGTGAGCCATGTGCTCCAGATCGGCCTAGTGCATGTGGAGTCTACTCATGGCACCAGCCCAGGCCCAGGCAGTGCCCAGCTCAGGCACAAAGAGCTGGGCAGCTCACTGCTGGTGTCGGGGATGCGGCTCAGTAGCTTCCACCCTGATGCAGAAACAAAAATACAGAACATGGGAAATATAAAAACAAAATATTCAGGATATACTCCTAGGCTTACAGAGACAAAGGCAGCAAGGTCACCTCAAGGATATTTAGAACAGCACCTGGGCTATCAGCGGCATCTGCCCAAAGAAGGAACGATGCCCTGGCTTCTAAGATGGGTGAGGAGAGGCAGCCAGGAAGCTAGCGAGATGCTGCAGGCTGGGCGTGTGGGTGCTCTTCTTCCTGGCTTTCCCATGCGTCCCATGGCTTAACCCGTGGTTGCGTGCGATTCTCAGGAAGATTCGTGGTGGGTTTTTTTGGTAAAAGAGCCCTAATTGGCTGGGCTTGGTGGCTCACATCTGTAATCCCAGTACTTTGGGAGGCCAAGGTGGGTGGATCATGAGGTCAGAAGTTTGAGACGAGCCTGGCCAACATGGTGAAACCGTCTTTACTAAAAACACAAAAATGAGCTGTGTCTGGTGGCTCGTTCCTATAATCCCAGCTACTCAGGAAGCTGAGGGAGGAGACTCGCTTCAACCTGGGTAGCAGAGGTTGCTGTGAGCCAAGATTGTGCCATTGTACTCCAGCTTGGGCAACAAGAACAAAACTCTATCTCAAAACAAAAACCATAATTAAGACTGTTTTCTTAGCAAGTCATCTTCCCCGCCCCTCGCTGAACTGGCATCTGACCCACTTGTGGCTGGGCCCAAGCTGGCTGGGTTGACCCACCCATCTCCAGGGGTCACAGCCTTCAGCCAGAGCCACGGGCAGTAGGCAGGGCAGGGCGGTTTCCAAACTACAGAGGAGAAGGGGGATCCTGGCCATAGCGAGAGCAGGAGCCAAGGTTGGCTCCTGGAGAGGAGCACACAGTCTCAGGAGATGGAGGAAGATCCTGCAGACAAAGCTGAGTGCTTGCCCACTCCCGAAGTCCACAGGACGACCACAGACGGATGTCTGTACAGAAGAGAAGTGCTCAGAGAAGGCTGGTAACGAGCCTGGCCACTCCGCTCATTTCACCAGACTCTGGCTGCAGCTCTCCACCATCCATGCTATCGCCCAGCAAGCAAAGCACCAGGGGCAACGTGGGGGTACACCAGCCCCCAAGGGACAGGTCCCTAATACAACCAGCAGCCTTGAAAATGGCAGTGAAGGGCTGGGTACGGTGGCTCCTGCCTCTAATCTCAGCACTTTGGGAGGCCAAGGAAGGCAGATCATTTAAGGTCAGGAGTTCAAGACCAGCCTGACCAACTACTACAAATACAAAAATTAGCCGGGCAGGGTGGAGGGTGCCTGTAATCCCAGCTACTAAGGGAGGAACTTCCCGTGGCAAGCTCGTGGGCCCTTGGGGGGACACGCAGAGTATAGGCTGGACATGAAGGTATTGGTGGGATGTGGGTCCCAAGCGGCCTGAGGACTTGTTGGGGCACTCACAGCCCAGAAGCCTTACCAATGTGGGGGCCAAGGCAGCGGTCAGCCGCCTCTTGATGTGTGTGGCTTTCAACCCACCCTCTCTAAACAACCCGGCCTGTTCCAAGAGCTCCCCTCCGCCCAGATAGGAGCTTTAGCAGGGTGGTGCCCGCCCAACCTCTCAGGCAACCGCAAAGCTTGCTATGGTGTATTCTTTGGGAATATCCTCCCCCTTTAAAAATCTCGGCCATCCACCTCCTCTTTCCAGAACCCCCACATTCCAAGACCAGTGCCTCACTTCACACTAGTCAATAAATCCATGCAGACGCTTCCACCAGATCCATTGCTTAATCCAACCTAGGGGAATTATTCTTCATGAATCATCAACTCTGAGGGCAGTAGCTTACGATCTTTCAACAGTGAAGCAACATCCGTTTTCCCTCCATCGTGTTATTCAATGCTCCCACCTCCTGACACCTTCCACCTCCCTCATCTCCAGATCTCCTCACTCAGGATTTAATTAGAGGAATCGCCTGGAGCAGTTCTTGTCCAATCAGAGCCCACCAGAACAAAAACCTAAGATGAACCAATTTACACATTCCTCATTTGTATGACGAAAAACAACTTTAGTATTGGGACTAATATGAATTAGCTACTATACTTCCCTGGGCAAATATCTATTCAATTGTAAAACCAAACCCTTCCTTCACTACAATTATCTGTTTTTTATTATTATTTTTGAGACATCTCAACTCTATCCGCTCATACTGCGGGAGTGCAGTGCGCACCTCAGCCAATGCCAACTCCAACCTCTCGTTCAAGTGATTGTCGTCCCTCAGAATTCGTCCGAGTAAGCTGGAACTACAGGCACCCGCCTACCCACTCCAGCTAATTTTTTTGGCTACT